CCAATATCCCAAACTTTCCACAAGCCGATTATACTAAAAACGACTCATAAAAATCGAAACTTTATGGAGATGCATACCCCATACATGTCCTACACCCTTCTAGGTCAAAATTAGTGAATGTATGACCTTGAACCCATACATGATACCAAAACAATTCCAAACTCTAGACCCAAAAGATTGAACACTCCAAGGACATCCAAGAATGATAAAGTTGCAAGCTTTATCTAGAGTTCTTCCATGAAATCCAACCAAAACCTCAAAAAGGTGCCTAAACACCAGAGAATGAAAGATCTAGAAAGTTCGAATCATAAAGTTAGGAGGTTGATGACTTACGAAGGCCCTAAAGATGCACAAGAAGTTGGATCTCATATGGAAACACTCACTCAAGTTCCAAAGAATGATGAACTTCCTTGAATACTCCCAAAATGACACCCGCAACAATTAAGCAAAATGGGCGAGGAAAGGGAAATAGAGGCTAGGGTTTTGTTCTTTAAAAGGTAGATGCTGATCCATAGAAACCCTAAAAGTTAGAGATGCTTAAGTAGTGCCCAAACTTAGAATCTAGGGTTTTGTGCAAACAGCGGCGCTATGCTTAACGTAGGCATATCTACGCTCAGTTTAACTCCCCTATGCTCAACGTAGCTCTCCTAGGCTAACCGTAGGATCATAATTATGAAATGTATCCTTTTATACTAACATAAGACATCTAGGAAAACGAATGTTACACGATGCTAAAATTCTAATCAACTGTCCGCTAGACAGCTTGGAATAAATTTGCACTAGGCAAAACTAATTAACTCGTTTGGAAGGCACGGTTGGGTAGATTGCATGCTCATATTAACCTTGAGCGCATTGGAGTTAATGTGAGTTCTTTTTTATGTCCGTATGCAATACTAAACAGGAAACACAAGGTTACATTTTCATGGATTGCTCCATTGCTTTCGGGGTACGATATGCCCTTCATAATTAGTGGATCAATTTTCCTATTGTTGCGACCTCGATTCAACATGCTTTTACTCCTGAATAGGTTGTTAATAACCTAAAGAATGAACACATCAGTATTTCTATTCTTTTTATGGCCTTTACATGGGTGATATGGACCTTCGGGAACGAGATTGTATTTCACATCAAAACGAAGAACATCATTGTTCTTGTTAGCGAGGTTAAGGCTCTTGCCTTCCATTCGCTTAAAATAGAGTTAGGAGATGTTGTACGTTAAATTAGGATAACTGGTGTTTAGATCTGAAGGCTGAATGTCTTAATGTATTGTAATTTTAGTTACTCGCTAGCTTTATCCGTGGAATGAAAACTTTCTTGTTGCTAAAAAATTAAATATATATTGGATGATCAATATAATTTTATTTTTGTACCTCTAACCCATTATATAAAATTCAATGCTATTTTTTTTAATATTTTATGTATATAAAATAAAGATCCGATATAGTTGTATTTTTACTTTTATATTAAAATATGATCTGTGTTTAAAAACAACTTATTAAATCAAGATGGAAGTTATAGAACATCTAAGACGATTATAAACTAGTTAAATTTATATAAAAAATATTATTGACGAAGAGGCGGGTTGAGCATTAAGATGTAGGGATGTCAAAAAGTCCCGTGGGACCCCGTTCCCGTGGGGGCCCCGTCCCGTTTGGGGGATTTTTTAAAAAAATATCGGGGGCGGGGGCAAGGTTAACCCCCGTTTTAATTTCGGGGGCGGGGGCGGGGGTAGGCAATCCCGTCCCGAAATCCCCATGGGGACCCCGTTAATAAATTACACATATATTTACATATATTAATTATATAAATATAATAAAAAATAACATGATTTTGAGCTTCCAAAATTCATCAAAAAACATGTTTTTAAGTTGTTAGTATAATTTTTTAAAATGTCATAACTTTTTTATTTTTAACATATAAAATTCTACTATAAATAATTATTTGTTACTTAAAAAATAACTTATTTTAGCCTAAATAACAACTTCTTTTAGCCCAAAAAAAAGTAGCCCAAAATCAATTGGGGGCGGGGGAACGGGTAATAAAGGTGATTTGGGGCGGGGGCGGGGTAGGAACATTGAACATTCCGGGGGAGGGGGTAGGGGCGGGGGAACAGGGAAATTTCGGGGACGGGGGTGGGAGATGCACTCCCCGCCCCGTTTGCCCCCGTTGACATCCCTATTAAGATGTCTTTTAATTAAAGGTAAGCAAGTGATCACCAACCTAACTGGTTGTGATGCATCCTGAGTTATAGGCTTCAGTGGCTGTGGTTAAAAGTTCTACTCTTGGCTGAGCATATTTGGGGGATTTTCCCTGGATTGGTATGGGTTCGATTCTTCGTTCCCTTTGGTGGTGAATGGTGCCCCTCTTGGTGGCTCGCTAGACATTCCTGATCTATCGGGTCGGGTTACCCTCAATTTGCCATTTCAAAAAATAAATAAATAAATAAATAAATAAAGGTAAAAATCAATAAAATGATTATTAAGACAATAGTTTTGAGTAATAGCTTTTAGTATCACAAGACTAACATATGGTATGTTTTCACAAGTTGACCATATATAGTGACGCATGCTATATATTGTTGCATGCGAACAAATCATATAAAGTATGCATCAAGGTACCGATGTTTAACGTGGAATGAAGCACAAGATCCAATTGCGACGATCCGTGTGTCATGTTGTTCGACCTTAACTCTTGGATATCAAATCCGATTTCAAGTTTGGTTGATTGGACAAAGATCCGCTTAGTTCAGATCATTGCCTCCACGTGGACAGTGCAAGTTAACTGGATTATTGGAGATCATGGAATGGAGTTGTGTTCAAGCTAAGAAACCTCATAGTGACACACTGACACCTATGTAAAGAAGCTAAATAATTCTAGTTCCTTTGGCTTTCTAGTAGATGTAATTAACAAGCCTCGTATAACTGGGTCTGACAACACCACCAACTGATAAAACTCAGTGGTCAATACAATACGTACATTTGGTTTTTAAATGGTATTTTCAATATTATTTTCTCTTTTGCATCTTCGAAAACATGTGAACTGATAATTCACTAGATGATGCAAAAATACAAGACTCATCATGTCCACCTGTGTGGCTTCCGTTTTGGTTATCATTCAACATCTCTAATGGTTAGGACGTATGATCCATGAGACATGTGTCGGCCAAGCACTAGAGCCTCATGGCATATGCTAGAACCTTCTATCTTTGAGCACACTCCTTTGTTGGGACACGGTATAATTAATCATATATATAGTCATGCACGCTTTATATGATCAACATTTTTGCTTGTGCAAACTGCAACCTTACTGGGGCCATAATTCTGTTTGAACTTCAGTTCAGATCTTCTGAGTGTATATTAATGTGACATATTTTTTGGGAAGATTACTTTGAGATTTTGTTCCGTTCGCCTTTTATAAATTATCATTACTTAATTAATATAATTGATAGTGATTTCCGACCATATATAATTCTACTTAATTTCGAGATTAAGTTATTAAACCAATGTACTTTTAAAGGCGTTATACACTATAACATGAAGTAAATTAATTAAACTTTTAAGCATACATTAAACAAGAGTAAATCCAATCATGAAAAGTTATAGCATATTAGTAATTAACAATTACTATAGAACCACAACATTTTATTATAACGAATTACTTAGTGAGCATTAGTAATTAGTTAGTGTCTTAGTGTGCATTAGTAATTAACATGATAACTTAGTCATAATCAGTTGTACTTTTTGGGAAAGACACACAAAACATAACTTAGAGATTTGAATTCACCATGGACGTATTCATGTATAGAAAGTACATGGATTTCACTGATACTCATGTGACTGAACCCATGAGAGAAGAAACCCTAGTACAGCAAATACACATCAGATGTGTAAATTAGGCCTCTCAATTTGGCAAGTGAAAGTGACCTCCATCATCATGCACCGTTAATGCTCATGCCTCAATCTCTGTGCCATATATATATATATATATATATATATATATATATATATATATATATATATATATATATATATATATATATATATACGCTTAAAATAGTAGCAGGTGATTATGATTATGCTCTTCGAGTGGGTTACAGCAAGAGGAGTGGATTATTTATTTAATTAATAAAAAACAAAACAAAATGAGCGAATTTGAAGCCTATAGATCGTCAAGTGGATTTGTGGAGATTGATCCTTATTCCCTTTCCTTTAGCACATTCACCAAGGAGAATGTTTTAGGCCCCTCATATGAGCATATGCTTTAGGTTAAAAAGTAGGGTTCTTGTCAGGTCTTTTTCAAAGTGGAAAAAAGAAAACTGAAACAAAATATATTTTAAAGGAAACATGGCATGGTAAAAAAAAAAAAAAAAAAACTGGAGTTCAGTTGAAAAAAGAACCAAACCTCTTCAAGTGTTGTACTACTGTACAACTACTATCCATCTTCGTGTATATATTTGGAAACTATTTTGATGTAGAATGAAGTGGTTGGAACTTTCAGATGAAGCAGGTGAACCGGTTTCAACTTCTCCACATCACCTTGTGATCATATGTTTTCTTGCACCTTCATACACACATAGTGGATGGAAACAAATCTGCCTCTTTTATTCATTATCATCTTTGGCTTTCTGAAGATGCATGCTAAGTTTACTTTATTGTCTTGAATAATAGACTGAAAAAGTCCTCGACTTTTTGTGCATGAAAGTACAATATACACTACCAGATGAGTGAAGCTAGAAACAGAAACAATCATACAAATTTGCATCAAGAAATTCAACCAAATTAATACAAATTGTACATCATACATTATTGTTTGTACCCCAAACCCAATTAACCAATGATACACAATAGTTGGTTTCTCTCTTTCGTAGTCTCCTGTCATTACAAGTACATCTTTTTCTTGTATCTCTAGCCCAAAAAAAACTGGGTTTTGATTTCTTTTCTTTATCATCTTCTATTCACTTCAAATCCTTCTGATCATTATGCGTACCAGTACGTAATGTTTCAGGACCCTCGATCTTGATTGAAGATCATGATATGATTGCTAAATATAGATATCACTAAACATGAACATGTTTATAAAGAAAGAGGAAAGACCCACTATTAATTGTATGATCCTATCAAGTTAGTTTCTCAAGAAATCCAAACAAATACCACCGACCATTCGGAGACTCGAAAAATAATCATTTGAAACGGTAGACAGAAAGAAAGAAATTAAATCCCCAAAGATTGTTGTTTTAAACACTATATATATATATATATATATATATATATATATATATATATATATATATATATATATATATATATATATATATGTAATTTTTTACCATGAGCCTCCTCCTAACATTCCAGTCCAAAAGCCATTGGTGTCACCATTCTGATCTCTATTTTGTTCTACACTATGATGTCCATCATGAGTAGCTGTTGTTGCTGAGCTTGTTTTCAGATCTTCAAATGGGAACAAAAGCCTCCCACTTGAACTATCATGGAGGCTACTTCCATAATTACCACCCCCACCATTGCCACCCATTCCATCCAATGAAAAACTAAGCGATGGAATCTTGAATTCTGGCATCGGAATCATCAGCTGTCCGGAAGACGAGTAAACCGAATTGGGATCAGGAACTGGAATTGGCATGAAGGAATTCATCATACCCCTTGTTGTCATTCCAGTCAAGAGTTCCAGAGCCGAAAGATGAGCTGAAGAAGTGGTGGTGCCTGAAGCGGAAGTGGTGTTCTTGGTCCCATCAAAATTGGGTACTTGAATAAGCTCAGAAATAGTCTTGAAATCATTGGTTGATGGGAAACCAAGATTTAGATCTTGCCCATGCTCATGATGCATCCTAGGGTTTTGAGAAAGTACTGGAGTTGCTGCAGGAGGTACAACCAGATCAGGCAGCTTCTTTGACATTGAAGAATGAGATGATATAGAAGACGATGATCTCTTGTTCTTCCTTGAGCCACCACCAACAGGAACGTTTCTAAGAGACCCACCTTCTGTCCAGTACCTTCTACAGGTCTTGCAAAAGTATCTAGGCTGCGAGAGGCTGTAATTGTTGTAGTAACAGAACTTGGTGTTTGTAGAATTGCATCTTGGACAGTTTATAGCTGCTTCTTTTTGTGGCCTTGCCCTTCTTTCTAAAGATGAAGAATTCGAAGATGGTTTTGAACATGAGTTCGTGGCGTTTTGTACTACCATTTCTTCCATAGGCTTCATCGCGATCTCCTATTTAAACAAAAGGCATACAGAAAAAAGTAAGAGATAGTTTTCAAAAAAGAGAAGATAAAGACATAAAGATCCAAAAAAACTTTAAGATTTGTAGACAAATGAACAGAACAAGGCAACTGCTTTATGCTTTTCGAAAATCCACAAAAACCGGTCTTCAAGATAACGAATTAAGTTGATCTTTTCCCAAAGACTCAACCCTTCTATTCAAGATATATATAGTCATCTATTAACAGCCTTTTGATTAAAGAAAAAACATGAAGATCGGAAACAGTATTTTGAAACGAAGAATAGAAAGTTGAAGATGAAAGATTTGCACTCTAGTTACTGGTGTTCATAATCGATAATTTAAGAAAATATACGCAAGTGGAACTTAGAAACAAAGCTCTAGTTTGGTTTGATCTAGATATCTTGAGTCTTATGAAATGAAAATTTCAACCAAAACCCAATTAAACTACCATTTAAGGCTTATTTTTCTTTTCGTTTTGCTTCGTGATTAGCGAAGATCATAAAGAAGGTGAAAAATCTAACTGTGTACCTGTGGCCAGTGAGCCGTATCCATGGTTGAAGGAAGCAAACTGAGAGAGAAAGAAAAAGAGAAAGAGAGAGATGAGCCTTTACTTTCCACTGTTGTTCAAAAAGCATAAAAAGGAATGTTTGAGAGGTTTGTGTGGACGTTCCAAGTGCTTTAATGCGTATATGTATGTAGGTCTCAAGTGAGAGAGAGAGAGAGGAGCTTTGCATTCAGGCAGAAAAAGGATAATCACAAAAATACCATAATGGTATGGTTTACTTAATTAAATGACTAATTATCCTTAAAGTTATGATCAAATATAAATGACATATTTGCCTTGTCATTGTAGAAAACAATTTTGTTCCAAGTGAAAAAAGTAATAATTATCATGGTTTTAAATGCTATTAAAATAGAATATAAAATATAAATTTTATTATAAAAGTATTTTAATCGATTAAACTAAATTAAAAAAATAAAATTTTGAATTTTAAAAATAACTAATTCTTTTAATTCTAATAAAACTATTCTTGAAAATTAATTCAATGACAAATTTGACGAAACTTTTATTCTAGTTCCGATTTTAGTTAGAAATAATAAGGTTTCATGAAAGATATTTTTTGAAAATATAACATTCTTAAATAATACTACAACATATATTATTAAGAATAATAATTTGCATGATTTTTTTTTTTTTTTTCATTGACGTATTATCTCAAAAATCACGTAAAAATATTACAATGAGGATATTATTCTTCTAAGAATGAGTCATAAAAATCATATAAATAGTATTACAAATGAGAATGAGTGAGAATGAAGAAATTTTATGAGAATATTCGTATGAAAAATAATAACAACAAAATAGCTTTTTTTTTTTTTTTTTTCTTTACCGCGTTCTTCCAATCCCAATCGACTATAAATATGGTCCATTTTAAATTAATATGATAATGATGCATTCTTATATTGTTTATTTTAAAAGAATATGTTAGATGATGTAGTAAAAAATTTAACCATAAATAGTGCTTTCTGTAGATACATATTAATTAATGCACGACCAGGATGTAAAAATTTACTTCCCAAAAACAAAATTAGAACTTTCTTTTTTATTTGATGGATATGAAATCCATAAAACCACCAAAATTAAGACATGTTTAAATATATTTGATTCCCTATCAGCACCACAATTGAGAAGCAAAAGCATAGAATCTACAACCTTTTGCATAAATACGTAGAGATATGGGAAATAAGAGTATGTAATATCATTTTTTTGGGGCTAAAAATTTCAGGTTTTTTTCGGTAAAATTTTTTTTTATTTAAATTATAATAAATAAATAAATAAATGAAAGTTAATGATTTAGATTAATAACCATAATAAACCTTGTTACTAAATACTAAATAAATTTTTATGGAGTTTAGGTGTCAAATGAAAAGTTTTAAAATTTAAGGGATAAAAGTGACAACTTAGGAAAACTTTTGTTTGGCCTCATAGTTTGACTAAATAAGCAACTTAGACCTATTTGTACAAGTTAAGATAGGGAAGGATCATGTTTGGGTTAATATAAGTTTTAGGTGAACTTAGGGACCATTTCAGAATAGATTTTAGGAAGAGGGGCCAAGTCTGACTATCTGACCAAACTTGTGGACATGCCGCCTCCTAAGGAACAAGCGGCGCGTTTTCGGTACTACACAAGTTATATCAGCGATTTGTTTTTGTGATTTTTCATCATTGTCCACCCCTTTTCTTCCATATCGCAATTTTTGTTCCTATCCTTTTTCATAATCGATTTTTTCTCACCAAATCCATAGGGTTTTAATGCTTGAAGATGTTGGAGGATACCTTGGTAAAATCTTTTCAAGATCTTGCATCTAGATGTATTTTTCTTCCTTTTTCCTCCCAAATACATTCTAATGTTTTGTTGAACTTCAAATCCAAATTTCACACTTAAATTGTGTCACTCTTATGAGAATATTGTACTGAAAAGGAATGTAAGAATGTATTGTACTATTAGCTTCTTGCTAGTTTTTGGTCAATATATCTCTTTCTTCTTGATGTTAAAAACATTAAGATTTTTGTTGGGTTTCTTCACTTGATTCTTATCTATGCTCCAACTAGTAAATAGATATGGGACTGGTATGATTAGATGACATTTTAATTTATTGTTTTCTAAACACCTAAATCCCCATATCCGATTTTCTTGTTCTTGTGTTGATGTAAGCTTGATCTTGTGATTAGAACTTGTACTAAACTTTAAATCAATGATCAATTTGTCAACCCTTCGGTATGATGACATTTCATGTAGTTTCGATCATAGTTCAAGTTTCAATGGTAATCTTTAAGTATTTTAAACATAGAGTTCATAGATTTAATTTTCAGTTACAAGTAAAGATATGAGCTTGAGTGTATGTTTAATAGTGTGTTTCCATCCAAATCCATGACCCATTCAACAATCCATGTTCCATGGTGAGACTTGTGGAGTCAAATACAAAACTTGACTCTAATTAATTCTAATATGGAATTATCAACTTGTTGTTCTTAGAACTAGAT